TCTCTCTCTCTCTCTCTCTCTCTCTCTCTCTCACACACACACACACACACACACACACACACACACACACACACACAAACACACACACAGACATGAACAAAAAACTTGCTCCTTGCTTAGTCCCTTCTGAAAGTCCATCCATTCTCTGCTCCTTACTGCCAAACACTTTCCTTTTTAGCGATGCCACTCTTCTCAACTCCAAAATACAGACAGAGAGTGCTGTATTTGCTGGTCAACTCGTCCATTCTTCCCCCTGTGTGACGCCATCAGGCCCCCCCCCCCCCCCCCCCCCCCCCCCCCCTGGCCAGACAAAACCCCAAACTCCGACCATCGTCACACGCCATGCTGTCGGCACGAAACCCATTTTGGTGACAAATAGGAAAAGTAAACAGTCCTTTGGGACATCCGTTAAAATTGGAACGATACAGAGAAAGATTTCCATCCCCTGCGCACGGATGACACACATAAATCGAGAAAAAATGCTAACTGAAATGGTAAGCCATATCAGCACATCCCTCTGTACTTCCCATGCGTAATCTTGTATACCATAGTTCGTGAAATATTTATCACCTCTTTTTTTTTTTCTTTTTTTTCTTTTTTTCCTTTTTTGAAATCCGGACGAGGCCCGCTAGAGGGAGTGATATGAGCAGCTCCCTCTAGCGGATCCGTCCCTGTATGCTCCCGTCTATTGGTCCCATCTATTCATGGGGAGCGGCAGCACCTGCTGGGAATCTGGTCTACTTTCCCACTGTACAACCCTTCAAAAAATAATGCCAGTCCTCGACCACCACCAGGTCGTTCCGAACGGAATTGTGTCGTACAAGTAGGTGGGTGTTGTGAGCTGCTGTCCTCGTCGCAATAGTGAGACGAACTTGGCGAGGATTTTGATGATTTGCGGCTTGAAAACCATTCATTCTTCTGGCACAAAGTCAACGAAGTACTACTACCATCTTCACCCTGATAGAACGCCCGGTCATCGTACCCGTATTTGGTGCAACTTGCAGTCTAGATACAGCAATAATCAGCAGGTATTCATTCAGGTGAAGACGGTAGCAATGCGGTTACAACTTATCAGAAACTTGCAGTAAGGTTAAAAGTTAAAACTTTCAGGTTAACAAATTATTAAAGGATGTGGGGCTGTTGTAGCGAAAGCATAAAAATGGGGGGATTAAAAAATTAAAAATCGACTGACCTTGCACTCCGCCGCCACCTTCCCTACTCTGCGTGCAGAGTCTCTCAGAAGATTCAATGGAACAGCCAGCTCATCCCTCAACCTAGGTAATCTTCCAGAGGCAGAACTGCTTCTCTCTCGCCATACAAAACAGCTGATCATCGCAACAATCTGCAATAACAAACATGTACCTGCATTTGTAAACATCTTCTCGTCACCAGAAAACCACCTCCTTTCAACCTAATCATTTCACCTTCCTCTGTGTCATGTTGTCATACCGTTCACATCCAAGTACTCTTGACCGACCATCTGCAGTGACAGATCTTGATTATATTCCCGTATTCAGACTTTGAAGTGTTTGATCGAAGCAATTCACGTGCAATCCTGGGAAGGGAAAGTACTAATGGGACCTACAGGCTACCTAAGCTGCTTCGCCTAGAATCACCTTCCCCTGCTATTTGTCACTGTGATGTTGAGGAGCACATGCTCTGTGACTTTCACTAATCCTCTGTGGCAAATAATCTTTTTGTAGTCGTGGCATGCGCCGCAAGCTTCCAGCCTATGGCTGAGCACCTGCTGCTGTTCTATATAGATTTTGGAAACACGGGCTTGAAGCCTTGAAAAGATGAACAGATGTCTTTCCTAAATAAGTGACAAAAAAAAACATGTGCAACCCTGTAGAGAAGAAAACATTTGGAGTTCCTTAGGCAAGAACATTATCAGAGCGATTCCAAAAACAAAAACAACGGTGGCAACCATCACGAACCGTAACAGTGAAACGCACGCGGTGACAAATTGGAGTTATATGAACAACTAGGTTGGCTGTGGCATACTGATACCACACGGGCCCCAGTTAGGGCCCGGTTCTGTAATAGGCACGGTTTAGGCCTAGGTACCGGGTCACGACGGTCCCAGCTAGGTCCAGGTAGGCCTAGGAACCGTCGGTTCAGTTTAGGGTCCGGTAGGCCTCGTTTAGACCCCACCAGACCCAACGGCTAGTTGTTTAGGCCAGGTACCGGTCCATCGGTAGGCCCAGCCGGCGGTGCAGTTTTAGGCACCACTTTTCAGATTCAATCGGATCTGAACCTTTGGGCCCGATCAACGGTCCAGACCTGAAGGCACTCAGTAGGACTGAGGCCGACCCAGCACTATATCAGCTGGGTACCAGCCTCAGTCGGTAGGTT